GATGCAGAATTTCATTCTCTTTCTAATGGTCATGAAGTTGTTGTAATATGATCAATAAGCTTCTAGAAAAGAGTCAAAATCTGCGACCTATGCTATTTGAGATGGCCAAGTTTCACAATTTTTCTAATTTTGTACATAAATCCTCCGAAGGATTCCAAGTAAAGGTTCGATAGAGTAAACCTTATAGAATAAAGTACTACTTTTTCTCTTTCTCGCAGCTCGAAGTAATTTTTAAAAATTTTTTTAACAGAACCATCGGATTTTGGCAGGCCCACCTCAGCCACAATCGCATCAAACATCATAATTTTTCGTAATTTGAAACTACCAAGATGGTATTATGAGCTAGCATTAATTCCACAAAGCAAGTGAGGGTTCACGGGTTCGAAATATCAAATTTCGAGTTTTTCGGGTATAGCTTGGAGCTCGCTAAAAAATGAAGTTATGATTATTTCTTTCTGGAAACAAAACGAATCAGAAACAAAAAACACCTGTTAGAGAGAGGAGAAAATTCCGCATCGAATAGTGTGCGAGCTGCTCTTCTTTTGATGTTCTACGAGGATTTAGCTGCCCAAGTATGGAAACGGTAGCATCAGTTGAAATTCTGTTAAAAATGTGTGACCAGCTATAGAAAGGAGAAAAAAGTAGTACTGTATTCTATAAGGTTTATTTTATCGAATCGTTACTTGCAATCCTTCTGAGGATTGATATGAAAGTTTTAAAACATTATAAAACTTGACCATCTTAGAAAGCATGGGTTGCAGGTTTTGGTTGTTTTCTGAAAGCTCATTGACTGTTTTGCAATATTTACATAACCGTTAGAAAGAGAATGAAATTCTGCATCGAATGCTTCCAAGAACTCTTAGAAACCTTTGTTCCATCAAATATGGCGCTGGTTTGAAAAAAGCGAAATTACTTTCGGAATGACCTAATAAGTTATTCGAAAATTCGAATATGCGAAGAACTTGAAAAGACAGTTATTCAACTATGCAAATATTTAAGAAGTTTCGGAAATCTTTGTTCGAGTATTTAAATCGACTATTGCGATTGAATATTCGGATATTGCATGCGAGTAATTCGTTCGTTTGGGAATTTTCAGTTTCAACTATTCGCTATTCATTCGTTCAATTTTCAAAGGTATTCTTCGATATTTGTTCATTCGACGAAAACTTGCGTTCATCAAAACTACATCACAAACTGGCAAAAAGCATAGTTCATGCTTTGGTTTCGGTGAAAAAATCTCTTGCGAAAATTGTTGCATTTACATTTCTGGAGAGCAAGGTGATTGGGACTATATATTAGTTTCTCAATGCTGGTAGTTGTATGGTGGAAAAGTACATGTGAAAATGATAATGAAGTCTAAGTAGATTTGTAGCATTAAGGGTCGTTCTATAAGACCACTTAGGGTGCATGTGTTTTTGGAAAATATGGATGAGACTTGACTTATGGCTTCAATTTCACAGCGCAGCTGTTTAGAGATTCAAGATGGAATAGGCACTGATGACTGGCTGTTGAAAACTATGAATTGCATTTTCATGCAAAATGATTGGCGGCAAATATCCCCACCACACCAATGGTGAAAAAAAAGAACACCATATTCGTTATCAGCGTACCAAAAAACCCCACTGTACCAAGTTTCAAAAAATTTCGTGATTTTCGTCCAACTACTGTATAGCTACCGTAATCTCACTTCGTGGCCCCATAGCGAAAAACGAATGTCATATTCGTGATCAGCGTACCAATAAACCCCACTGTACCGAGTTTCGGACAATTTCGTGATTTACGCCCAACTACCGTATTTCTACTGTAACCTCGTTATGTGGACGAATGGCGAGAAATGAGCATCGGATTCGTGATCAGCACGTCGGATGACCCCCTGCAAAATTTTACAAAATTTCAAATTTTTGTTTCAACGGTGCACGATGATACCCTCATCATGCTTCATGAACTCGGAGCAAAATCTACCCCGAGGGACTTTTTAGCTGCACCTCTGCATTAACCAAACTCAGAGTTAACTCCGAGTTTCGCGGGGGCCTGAAACGCGCACCAATCAGAGTTAACGCGCAGCTGAGCTGCGCGTTTCGTCGCTTAGCGCCTCGCGTGGAACGAGTTACGCCGTGTTTCCATACTTGGCATAAAGTATGTCTTGCGGAGTATCCTGCCATATCATCTTTTCCCCAACTTGACTTGTTTATGCAGGTGTTAATGGTCCCTGAAAGATGCGTGTTAACTCGAAGTTAACTCTGAGTTAACTCCGAGTTTGAGCTGCGCGTTTCGACAGGTTTGCTACCGACCCTGAGTTTTCGCATGTAAAGCGCACCCGACATAACCTAACAGCAGGCCTGCGCTCAAATTTATGCCTTCAAACTCTTTGTGCAATGTTTCCAACAGCGTGAAGTGGAGTAATGACATTGTTCGTATGTATGGGAGTCCGTATCCAATTAGTTGCGAATTTCTGTAGACCCTAGCATGCATGCTAATTGAGGAGTTCATTCTGCAAAAATTTATTTGCAACAAGCCATAAAGTTATCTCTGGTTTTGACCACAGGGCTTATGTAAGTCACAAGGCAACATACAATACAGTGTGTTTTCACTATTTAGCAGCTAAATAGCAGCAGAAAATCAGGAAAGGTACCACTTGGTAAGTATTTTGGTATCGCCTAACATTAACATTGAACTGCGAGACTTATGCTTTGAAACGAAGCGAAATGCGACTTCGCGAACAATCGTGAGTATAGTGTACAAACTTTCTTTCTAGGTATATAATGCTTGTACATTATTTTGAGCTTAAAAAATAGCGTAAACCAATTTTGAAGGCATAAATTTGAACGCAGGCATGCTGTTAGGTCTATGTCGTGTGCACCTTGATTACAAAAACTCAAATTTTTTCTAGTGCTCACTTCTCTTAGCATCTATATGATAGACGAAGCCCCATCGCTTCCAAATCAGTTGAAAAATACCGCGGAATCACCTATAAAAATACGTTCTCGAAAATAAAAACTTTTGAGTCAAAAAAGCAAATAAGCGTTTCTTATAAAGGTATCCACAGCTGGACTAAAGCGACTGTTTTGACTCCTGATTATGTATATGCACAAAAGACTTTGGGAGCCGAGAATTACTTTAGTGGACAGAAACTTTAGGTGGGTCTATAGTTTTGACCAGCCTTCAAGCGTGCTTTTTCCAAATTTTTGGTATTTTCGGCCAAGGCCAAGAAGATGATTTGTGGGAAACTGTAGAAAATCTATCGCTCGCTGTGACAGCCGCTACTAACGAGTTTGAGGAAGAGGGGGAGTCAGAGAGGAGAAGAGAGCCCAAAACTCCTAAATCGGCAAATGTTCAAGGAATCAAGAAGTACCTCAGAAGCTACTTAGTATCCCTAAGAAACAAAAAGGAAATTTATCTTCGTAAAGGTGGGATTCATATATTTTACTAAGTTACTTTTTCTCTTTCCTAAACCAATAAAAGATTCATCATGTCACCTTGAAGATACAACAAAAATATGCCGAACTTCAACGGAAACAGGTACCTGTATCATCAGTTTCAAAGGCATGCATGTACCACTAACCAAGTGAAAGAGTTTGCCGTTAATTTGATTGCTGTCCAAAATTTTCACTACTTCGTACACCTTCTCGAAAAGACCTTGCCGGCCGCCCACTCCTTGTTTTTCGATCCTAGATACCTGCAAACTTAAGATAGTGCAAACATTAGGACACAACAACAATCAGCTTTAGTACAGGCTTACCAAACATGCAACGCCGATTATAGGAGCGAGTGACGCCTCTCGCGCATGTCGACTGGGGCGCGCTTTCTTCCTAAAAAAAACCCGCTATTCCATGCTATTCCGGATCCTAAAAAGGAGGAGAGAAGGAGTTTTGAAAATAAAAAAGTGTTGCTATAGACTAAGCTTTAAGTGTAACAGATTTATACAGAAAATTTTGAAGAAATTATGTAAACTGGAAGTGGCCAACCTCAGGCTGGCATTAGGTTTGCAATTGACAACCTAATTTGGAAGAAAAGTTGGGCACGCTCTTTATTCATATAAATTCATAATTTTTCCACTTTGTTCCTTAGTCCTACTGAGCATATACACACAAAATCGCGCGCAATTTCGTCACCTCGGCAATGCAAACGAGCCCTTCTTCATTTTTTGGTCGAAAATTTTCATATAAAAGCTTGCCACAGCCTTCAGTCAAATAATTTTTCATTGAATCTTCTCAGTCAAGCCTTGCAGGCCCGTGTTCATGTACGTATCAAGTTTCATACCATGTAATCAGCGTTGCAAACGAGTCATTTAAATTCACATCTTCTTTCACCAGTTATGCAAATTTTTCGGGAAAAATGCTTTTTACTCCTCCCGTCCACATAAGTTTTCATAATTTTTCATACTTTGTTTCCACTGGCCCCTCTTCGTTCGCTTACGAAATTTGGTGCCATATCGTTACGCATACGTTGAGAACTGGTCATATATGTTGTTACAAGGAGCATCGTTTGAGCGACGTCACGCGTGCGGCAATTAGCGACGGCGCGTGACGCGTGCGAACTCCAGTGTTCGCCTGTTGTGGCACATAACATGTTAAGATAAGCAGAAAGCATAAACTACCAATTTTTTCCGGGGCTCAGCCCCGGACCCCGCAAAAACGATTTTCCTTTGCTTTTTTCAACCAAAAAACGATTGCCGGCTTGTCATTTGCGCACCTCGTGCCGGGCCCTGTCTCAGTCACAAGTGTTTCCTTTAAACAATTCTTTATTAGAGCCTCCAGTCAAAAAAGTCACGTCTCAGTTTTGCCTGAGAACTATTTTTAACTCATGTGAAATGTTTCATTCAGTACCAATCCTCGGAGTACGAGTCCCAAACACCGTAGTGGCGAAAGTTTTAAAAAGTTGAAATGCCTCAGTCACGAGTGAATTTTACTGGCTGCCCCGTCTCTCAATTATTCGCATAGAAAGCACACTCACGTATTTGCCTAGGTACTGACTTCAAACCAATCTAAAACTTTTTCAGGATGCGATTTTTGCCCCGCACCCTATTCATAGGTGACGTCATGCAGATGGTTGATACTGAGGATGGTGACATTCTTGTACTGACGGACCTTGTTCGAGAAGAGTTGGGTATAAGTCAGAACTCTGCCGCAATCACTTCTTTGAGCGATGAGAGCAATAGTCATGTAATTCTGCTGTTTTGAAAACCTGTGGATTTTGGCGGAGTTGCCTAAGTAGTGACATCAAAGTCATTTGATGCGAACTTTTTCCAAAGAACTCGGATAGAGCTGCCGGAGACGCTTCGACCTGGATACTCCAGTAAGCTCCAGAAATTCTCTTGTGGAACGATTTTAGGTTTGAGTCGATTACGGCTTTTACCATCACTGCCATCAGTTGTCGACATAGAGGCTTTGGAAGAATTAAAAGATCGCATAACACTAAGGCAAGCTAGTTCTATAAATAGTTCTGTGCGATTTAGATCCAGGTACGCAATCACACCTCCATTCCATTTGGATAGATGCCGTTTTTGAGTAAAGCAAAAACGAAAAGCTTATATTGCTGACAGTTTTCTAAAATTTTTAGAGGCGTCTAGATGAATTTATCTGTCGTAGTTAAAAGCTAAGCTTACTAAGTAAACTAGCGTTATCCCGCACGGTTTCTTAGCTGAAACGCCATTTTCCAAACCTTCGCTCAATACTTGAGTATGCCGCTTCGCTAGCGAATACATGCAGGGTGAAGAAAGCAAACTTTTGCGATTGATAATATCCAAATCGACGCTCAGGTAATGGCAGTTGAGGCCCCATGCATCCATGAACACAAACGTTTATAGTTTAATTTATTTACCTACAGTATTAGAGAAATTGCGTACGTTGTATTTGATGCGTAAAAAGGAATATTTGATGGGTGTTGTGCAAGAAGAACGATAGCTGTTGCCAGCCGCTGCGTCAGCGCGTTGAACTGCATTATCTGCCTTATAAATCAAGAATTTTACACTAAATGAGAAGAAGTAAATTGGAATAAATGCTTTACTTGATAGTAACTCATCTTTGCTTTGAACAAAATAGTGAGATGTCTTACTTAAGATTCAGCAAATCTCAAGTACTCAAAGTCAACAATTTTTTGTGAACAATTGAAAATTTCGCATTAATTATAGTCTGATTAACTTTCCTACAACATTTCATTCAGGTTGTCACTAATTCCCGAGCAAGTTCCTTCTACCGTAGAAGATTGTAAAGAGCCAAGTGAAGTGCCGTGCTTTGTCTATGGAAGAAAATACCGACAGCCCATCAACAAGATCCTGTCATCACCACACGAATAGGTTTTTCATTGGAAGCCAATTTTTTGCAGACGAAGTCGACTGCATTCAATTCAGCAGTGTTCTTCGTCGAAAGTCAAAGGACATGTCAAGCCCAAAATCGGAATCGGATCCACCTTAGCCCAACTAAAAATATACAATGCATATGCCATTTTTGGCTTATGGGTCACTTTCTTTTCAGAGTAGTACAGATCTCCATTCCTTCTCACTCGACTGAGTATTCATAACATTCAAAAATTCTCCTTCAATGATGTATTCACTGATGTGCATTTATTGCTACTCTATTGTTGTGTCATTAAATGATGTGAGAGCTTCTAAGTGATTTCTATTAATCACAGTTTTTCTCTTATATTAGGTTGGTGCAAAAGTTTTGTCAGTTTTTTCAATCCATCGGCAAACACGCTAGAATGAAGATAAGCTATCATTTTAAAATGTATCCGATGCAGAATTTTTTCCTCTTTCCAGCTGCTGAACTCCCATTGTGATGTGTTGCGAGAATGACGAGATATTTGCTGGAAAACACAAACACTCGTTTTTACCATGTCCAACTTTCGCTAATTTTCAAAATTTTTGCATGAGACTTTTGAAGGAGCCCTGATAACCACCAGATAGTGCAAACTTGCCAATTTATGCAATTTTTCCTTTCTTTCAACTGCTTTTTCAGATTTTTGCTGAATTATTTTCTATAAGTCTTGTGTTTTGGAAAAATCGCATAACCTGTTATTGCAGATAGGGCAAACCTTTTGCCAACAAAGGCAACTTTTTGTAGCCCTGCGGCTTGTCTTTCGGAATTTCCACGATTCATTTTTTGAACCGGCCAAATTTTACATTCAGCCTATCTTAACCTCGTACAACATAAAATGTTGAACGCTTCAGTCACCATTCGATGCAACTTATTCTCCTCCTTCTAATACTTGTCTTCTTTTACCCAGGCAGGCGAAATTTGTGCGGAAAATCGGAGTATTTCTCAATTTCAGGAGTGCACACTAACGTAACCTATGTTTCAAAACCTTTATAATTCGAAGCGAAAATCGCTGGTTTACTTGGTAATGGTAGCGGTAGTAATAATCGAGCGTTGAAACCTCAGCATTTCGTAGATTTTGCAGTGTTTGGTGCAATAACAGGTTATGCGATTTTTCCAAAACACAAGACCTTTAGAAGATTATTTAGCAAAAACCGGAAAAAGCAATTGAAAAGAAGAAAAAAATTGCATAAGTTGGCAAAAGGTTTGCCCTATCTGGTGGTTATTAGGGACCTTCCGAAAGTCTCATACAAAAATTTTGAAAATTAGTGAAATTTGGACATGGTGAAAACGAGTGGTTGTAATTTGCAGCAGATATCTCATCATACTCTCAACGAAACACAATGAGAGTTTAGCAGCTGGAAAGCGGAAGAAATTCTGCATCGGATACATTTTGAAGTGATAGCTTATCTTTATTCTAGGGTGTTTGCCGATGGATTGAAAAAACTGACAAAACTTTTGCACCGACCTAATATATTAGGTTGAATCATAAATAGTGCACGTTTTTCTTACCTCTTCTTCCAAGAGCTGGTATTTGACGTGTAATCAATTCCCTCAAAAACTTTTTACGCATTCTAAAAGAGCGTTTTTTCTAGTTTCTTATGTGGGCCTTCGCTTTCGTACATCTCCGTTCATTCCAATGTTCTGAGCCTTCAAATAAAAGAGACTAAATCCCAAAATTTTTGCTTTTCACTCTTTTTGCTCTAAATCCATGGGGAATAGCCGAATTGATTTTAGAAAATATGCATAAGGATTAGGGAACTTTGCGCTACAAGATGCTTTTTGAACAAAATTTTCCATGAATTCTGACAAGGGAATGGTCAGAAGTCGAAGTGGCCAAACCAAACAAGCTGTTTATCATTCGATGCAGTATAAAGCGCTGACTTCAAATCTGTCTTCCTTATCTGCTTATCGCTTCTGTGGACGAAGCTACAAGCGGTTTTATGGTGAAAAAATCATAAAAAGAGCGAATTTGAGCACATTGTTGCACTTTTAGCTCAGCTTCTGGCTTTAAAAATTTGAAGTAAGCTAGCTGCATGTTTTGGCTCAACACTAAGGCGAACGCGGGTCTGTACGGCTAATTTTTCAATTTCATGCATGATTTCTTAGCAAAATAATGGTCTTTAATGGCTTATAGCTTCCTCCACAAAAGTGATGAGCAGGTAAGGAAGACAGATTTAGAGTCAGCCCTTCATGCTGCATTTGAAGGTATGCAGCTTGTCTGGATTGGCCACTTCGATTTCTGACCATTCCCTTGTGAGCCGAGAAATTCATTTGCGAACTTTAATAATGATCGCGGCCCTTTCGTGCCATATAAAACTTTCAAGCAAAAGACGATTGCAGGTCTTTTGCACTATTTAGCAAGAGTAGACCTAGTTCATTTGTTGGTAGGAAAGCGCTAGGGTTTTCCCACTTTTTAGCGGAGATAAATGAAATAACTTCAAAAATGATCGATTTTTGAACCCGCCGAGATGCCAGAAAAAAAGTGAGTACTTTCGACTTTTTCGCGATATTTTCTTCTACATTTTTTCCGCAAAATTCAAGCTTGGCATTACTGCTCAAGAGACCCTTGGCTACACGATGAGCGAAGTCTGCTTTATCCCACTTCATTTAAAAATAAATTATGTTCTCTCAAAGTAAAGGCTTCTGAAAAAAGTTGTTGGCACTCTTCGGGCCAGAAAATCTTTTTTGTGATAGATACAGTCACGCAAAAGTATCTGTTTTATAGCCACTGATTTGGTGGTTACAGCAGTTTTTATTGCGCCCAGATATGCTCTTGAGAAAAGAATTGTCTTGGTCGAAAGTTGAAGTATAGAAAACGTGCATTAATTATGAATCAACTTAATATATATGAAGTGTTTTCCATTCTTGTGAAAACATTGTCAGAAGTCCATTTAAAAAAAATGAGGTTAGCCTCTCGCTGTCGAAGCGGCCATTTGAGAGGAGGTGCATATTGATGTAGCTCTTGAAACGCTGATTTCAAATCTCTCTTCATTATCTGAAAAGCTTTTCTGTAAGCCGAGTTATGGGACTTTTTCCCTTCGCCAGAACAAGGCGGGGGGGGGGGGGAACAGTTTCTGAGCTGTGGTGTAGTGGTGCGTGGCTCGGCCTCACAGGCAACAGACCAAGGTTTGATTCTTGTTGCCGCCAACGCTTTTGCATCGTTCTCAAAAGTGCGTGTTGCTTTGAACAAGCCATACGCTGACAGAATGTGATACATTTCAACTTAACGGATTATTTTGACCGATTTGCAATTGCGGTACAATGAGCTACGAGCTAGCGAACACTCAAATTTTTTTATCAATGAGATTTTCTATAAAAGCAAGTATTGGGATAACCTAGATATGATTCTATGGGCAAGTATGATAAGCAACTGCGAAATTTTGAAAACAGAATTATTTTTCACACCGTGCGCACGTATAAAGATGATATCAATACAATTATTTTCTTCATAATCATTCGCTGGGCTCATATCGTAGGAAAAACACATCTGATTTGAAGTCTCGAAGGGACTGAGATGACTATCTACATAACCAGCGGCATGCCATGAATAAGAAAGAAATTTTTTGAAACGCGGATTACGAAACTGAAAGTAAATTAGAGAAAGGATCTTTAGAATGGAGTCCCTTTGATGTACGGAGAAGTCAATCTCATGGGTGAGTACGAAAGAAACAAAACGTTTGTACATTGATTTGAAAGGCAGGAAAAATTTAACATTCAATGGTTGGATTTGTGATGTTGTTCCCGGTGAGATGTTCATTATTTTCATACTTTTGCAGCTCAGTAAGGCAGAGAGAATTGCGGTCTTTGAACGAAAACCAGGAATCTACTAGAAACAGCGTAGGTGCGACTCTGGTGCTGTTACGCAAGTTCGAATCCAGTCCAGGAGTAGCTCTTTATTTATCATATGAGTAGTGTTGGCTCGGAACTCCAGGTTGTCTGCCCGAAAATGCTCTCTACTAGGAAAACTTCCTTGTCTTTTGAAGAAAACTTTGTTATTCAGCCAAAATGATGTGCTTGTTGTTGGGTGCTTACGTAAGTACCTGCATTACTACAAAAAATTTGGCTCCCAAATGACCATTGGCGTATAGAGGCGGCATAACCAAGAAAGAGGTATAGTCGCCTATACCTTTTGGACGATTCTCTCTACTTTTCTCGCTTCTCTTTCCGTCAACGAACGAGCGACTTCCTTGACAAAGCCACTTTGATCGACGTTGCAGATCAAGTTGAACGGCCATAACTCCATCTCTAAAAAAAGATTTTGGGTCTAAATTATGGTATTTACGCTGCAATACCTTTTTCACCTCGGTTACAAACAGTCGGGCTGTATTATCTACACACTCTCTTTTTCTATGAGACTCTTTTTTCGAAATAAACGTGGTAATATTTCGTGAAACTAAGCCAAATCTGTTCTTAAAACGCTGAATCCATCTGTATATCAATATGGAAGTCTTCCAAGTTAATTTTCAATGCAATGTCAACTAGGTCATAGTCATGCAGGGATATTCCAGAAACGAATTTTGCAATGACCAGTTCCCTCGATCTTTCGGCTAATCTTTGAAGCAAAACAAGCCAATCGGCATGGAGATTCCCTTCTTATTTAAAAAACTTACTTTCTTTTTTAATTTCCCTCAATTAGAATAGGTGGAGGAGAGTCCTAATGAACCTAAATGTGCAGTCATGCTCGAAAACGACCGGTTTCCTTTATCAGAAGAGGGATAATGGGCGATTGCCTTTTCAACCTTTTTAGGTTTTTGTCAACTAGGGAAAGTCTAGCTTACTCAACGCCGCTCTATCTCGCTCGTCGTTGTCATCGACCACTCTTTTTCCTCATTATCGAAGTCTTCTACCACATCATCTTTTTCGAATCGATGTCCAATTCAGCGTTCGATGCTGTGCGCAAAATTGACGTGAATTTGTCTGTTGATTTCTGTTCGGTCCTACTTGGTTTGCGTAAAATATCGCAAGAGCCAAACTCCTT